GCCGCCGCCCCCCTCCGAGATCCGGGAACCTGGAACTCTTGGGCTCTTTCTGTACCCGGGAGCCTTCCTGGAAGGCTCTCTTCTCTTCTCCTTGGGTGAACCCTCAGTCAGGTCCCCACCCCTCTGGCCTTTCTGACCCCCTGCCCCCAACCTGCCTGCCCCTAGGCTGCTGATTTAAGCAATGCCCCCCACTTCCGGCTCCCAGGGTGCTCGAGCTCTCTCCTAACTGCCAACATGCTTCTCCGGCACCCTCGAAGCTGCTCCACAATGGGAGACCATGCCCCTTCCATCTCTGTACCCATGGCATCTGGCAGCTGGGAGGCATCACTTAATATTTGTTTCAAGAAGAGAATGAACGGAGGTGGAGGGAAAGGGCAGATCGAGGGGAGAGGAGAGGGGGACTTGGAAGGAACAGACTAGAGATGTGTGGGAAAGAGGAATCAGGGAATGAGAGGTAGTCAGGGGACAGAGAATGAAGAGGATGCTCACAGGCGGCCTCTGGCACTCCTGCAGCCAGTGATTTGAGCTCATGAGTATCTGGGGACTTGTGCCCAGGGAGACACCCTGCTGGCCGTTCAGTACGGGCAGGAGTCCCACGGCCAGGGGAGGTGCTGCTGGTATCAGAAAGGTGCCAGGTTACACCAGAGGCAACTCACAGGCCAGGACCCAGCAAAATCCTTGGGTTCCAGCTCCATCGCATCCTGGTGCCTCCCTCTCCTCCTCCTAACTCACGCCTCAGCCCTTGGCTGACCTTGAGCAGGCCCTGCTCTGACCTTCAGAGGCAGGCTACCTTTCTGACGTTCTTCAGCCCACATTCAGAGACCACAGAGCCTCCTCTCACTCTGACTCCCGCCCTTAGCCCCCGGTTCATGCTTGGCTTAGGATATACAAATTGTAAATTTGACTATTGTGTAAATGATTCCAAAGTGATCCTAATCTTGGTTCCCCGTGATGCCTGTAAGCCCTCAAGTGAGATTCACACCCTGGTTTTTAGACAGTGATGTGGTAAAAAGCAGCCTGGGCCTGGTTATAAGATGGGAGGTAGGAAAAAAAATCAAATGTTCTCTCTCTCTCTCTCTCTCTCTCTCTCTCTCTCTGTGTGTGTGTGTGTGTGTGTACGTGTGTACATGTGTACATGTATACAGGCCAGGCCAGAGGTGGATGTCAGCCGTCTTCCCTGACCGTCACCTCATTTTTTGAAGTTTCTCACCGGCCCCAGAGCTCATCTGTTAGGGTGAGCTGAGGACCAAAGAGCTCAGACATTTGCTTGTCTCCACCCGCCCCAGTGCTGGCATGACTAGCACAGGACACCTCACCTGGCTTTCTACATGGGTTCTGGGGATTTGAACTCAGATTTAGATGATTGTACAGCAGGTTCATCTCTCCCAGTTCTCAAGTGCATTTCAAACTTAGCCTTTTTTGGTTTGTTTGTTTGATTGTTTTTTTTTGTTTTGGTTTTTGGTTGTTTTTTTTGTTTTTTGTTTTTTTTTTGGTTTTTTTTTTTGGTTTTTCGAGACAGGGTTTCTCTGTGTAGTTTTGGTGCCTGTCCTGGATCTCTCTCTCTGTAGACCAGGCTGGCCTCAAACTCACAGAGAGGCCTGGCTCTGCCTCCCCAGTGCTGGGGTTAAAGGCATGTGCCACCACCCGGTTCTTAGCCCTTTCTTTAGAGACCTGTTTATCCGATGAATTGTTAATGTGTGCCCGGAGAGGAGGCGAGAGTACCCGTGACAGGTGCGCAGACCCTCCCCAGTAGTGCATAGTTCCACTATGGAAGCTGGGAGCAGCTCCTCCCACGGACTCACACAGCCTTCTCCAGGATCTGCATCCTGAGTCAGTACATACCCTGCAGGACCACCCCAAACTCTGGGCCCAACCCAGTGGGGACCCACAGAACCCATGAGTGAAGGATGGAATACATGGAGGCATCAGTCAGTGAAGAGGAGTAGTGTGGTAAGCTGGTCTGTGAATGAATGAGTGAGTGAATAATGAGGAACTCAGGGACTGCGTTCTGGGGCACAGGACAGTTGCTGGGGTCTGGGGGTAGTGTGAATGCAAGGCCTACCCCTGCAAAGCTGCTCTCAGCTTCCTGGGCCTTTCCTTCCTTCCTTCCTTCCTTCCTTCCTTCCTTCCTTCCTTCCTTCCTTCCTTCCTTCCGTCCTTTTCCCATTGCAAGCAGACTCTGCCCTTCAGAGACCCGTTCGGCAGCACACAGATCGGGAGACCGGCACACTGCCCTTCCACCTAACTTCCAACCAGACAGGACTTCACTATCCTCTTCTGCCTTTTTTTTTACAACAGCAAGGCCTCTTCTGTCTAACTGACTAAGTACTCCTTGTCAGTGAGAAACCACCGCCCAGGTCTTTTCCCCTTGGGGTGACAATACTGGTGAACAGAGCTAGCTATTCAGTAGAAGCCACTAGCTACACCCCATCCAACCCACAATGGCAGGCTGGATCCCTGGGTCCATGGGTTCCTCAGCATCCCCGCATGCTATAGATCATAGCTACAGTTCCCCACCAGGAGATTCATAATGGTGGTCAAGAGCTAAAGCTGAGTGCACCCTCTGAGCCTGGTAGACTGTCTATTCACACGCTGTGTGGCCTCCAGTCAGCATCCTCATCTGTAGAAAACTTCTGATGAGATAACTCAACGGATGCACTCTGAGCAGAGATTGGCCCATAGCAAGTAATACAAACTGCTATTTTAATCATTTATAATAGAAATTCAAGTTAGGATTATTTTTCTCTGAATATTGTAACTGTTTCCCACTATTAGCACAACCTGAAGATTAACCAGACAACAATCTGATCCTCTTTTCTGTTTATGTATATTATACATGTTTTTATTTGAGTGCTTGCCTGCATGTATCTAAAGTGCACCACATACATGCAATGCCAAGAAAGGCCAGAAGAGGGTGTTAGCTCACAGGTAGCTGTGAGCCACCACGTGGGTGCTAGAAACCAAATCCAGGTCCTCTGTAAGAGCAGCAAGTGTTTTTAAGTGCTGAACCATCTCTCCAGGCCCCATCTTCTTTTTTTGCTGTTTTTTTTTTTCTGCCCAGTAGTTGTAGGACAGTCTCTGAAGTTCTTTGCTTCCTTCAAAGTCTCTCCCCAGCCAACCGTGATCATTTTTAGTTGAAGATGTATTTTTTTCCCAACTCAGAGATTTTGTTTCTTCTAGTATTTCTTTTATTATAGTTTCAGCTCGGTGACGTTCTCTCTAGGTTCCATGAACCTGGTCCTCCCTGTTGCTGTTGTATTTCTCTGTTTTAAACATTCTTTTCATTTTCCTTCAATAATTCAGTTTTTTCTCTACATCATTTTTCCCCCTGGGTTTTGAGGGCTTCTCGAGCTGGCCATCTAATTAATCAGGCTGTTTTTCTGAAGTGTCCCGCTGCCATGCACGGCCTTTCAGGGGCTTTCAATTTGGAAATCATGACTTTTCGTCTCAAAGAACCCTGTGCTGTTCTCAGAGAGACCTTTTTAAATCAACCTAACAGCATCTCAGGTCTCACTCAGATGGCTTTTCAAAGTCCTTCTGCACTTCCTGGAAATGTATCTTCTTCAGGGTACAGCTTGTGCCAGATGCCCACAGATACTCCCCCAAACCCTCTTTCAAATTTACTGATCACATTCCTAGTTGGCTTTTTGAATGGTACCTATCAGTGACTCTAAGTCACCGGTGTCCCCCAGTACTAACCAAAGACAGTTGAAGAAGAGGGTCGACATGTTGTGCAGGGGCCCTGGCTCACAGCCTTCTTGGCCCACTGTCTTTAGCACATAATCTCTGCTTCATAGTACAAAAGGAATACTTCACTTCCAGCCACCAAGTCCATCCTCCAGGCCATAGTCAGAACCACATGCTCTCCCTTTAAGAACACTTTCTGGGACCTGGGCTTGGTGGTAGATGACAGTCACCCCAGTACTCAGGAGACGGAGGCAGGAGGATCTCAAGTTCAAGGCCAGGCAAGGCCACAGAGCAAGACTTTCTCAAAAGACACACAGTAGGGGCTGGAGAGGTGGCTCTGCAGTTAAGAGCAATTGATGCTCTTGCAGAGGACCTGGGTTTGATTCTGAGCACCCACACGGTGGCTCACAACCATCTTTAACTCAGGTTTCTGAGACCCAATGCCCTCTTCTGGCCTCTGCGGGCACTGCATGCATGTGATGCACATACATCCCATGTGGGTAAAACACTCATGCACATAAAAAGAAAAAAACAACAATTAAAACAACAACCACAAAACACCTGGAAATAACTGTCCTGTTTTGTGCTTAAGTTCTAGTAACCAGAGTTCAACCCTGTGACCCTATCTATCTGCAAAGGGATTAGAAAGTGCTGTCTTTATTCTGCGTGGTCCCTTGACCATTCCATTGCTATGAAATAATAGGCAAGTGCATATTGGGAAACCTCCAGGTGTTCCTACCTTAGAAGCCTCCCTCCTGCTGTCCTCCGCTGTGCCAACAGTGGTCCAGAAGCATCAGGTTGCTGAAGCAGCGTGGGCGGTTCCGCTCCGCCCACCACCTGGTCCAGCGAGTGGTCCCTATCTGAGCTCTTATCGTTCCTTTGTTTGGTTTACTTTGCTGAAAACCTCTGAGGTTTTAGACAAGCAGGCAAGATATCTGTGGATTTCAGCAATTCCGTAGAACTGGGGCTGGGGCTCAGTCAGTGAAGTGCCTGCCACAGAAGCCTGACGACCTGAGTTTGGATCCCCAGCACCCACCTAAAAAGCCAGGCATGGTGGCATGCAGCTGCGGCTCTGGCACTGGGTGGATGGAGACAGACAGGTCCCCTGGAGCCACCC